GTGTGTGTGTGTGTGTGTGTGTGTTTATTTGTCCCCACTCTCTCTTTCTGCAGCCCCAGTTATAAATGAATGAAGAGCACTCAGTACAAAGGCTTCCCATTCATTCACAAACTGGTGATAGGAAAATATTTACCATCATCCAGTTATCAATGGGGAGGAGCCTCTATAGTGAGTGATCCCACCCATTGAGAAACTCATGAATGAACAGGAAGTGATGTAAAGCACTTCCTGTACATTCATAACTGGGGACACATAGCACTATGTGTCCCCGGTGGTTTACAAACACCGGGGTGATCAGCCGATCGATCCAGTGTCTGCTCTGCACAAAGAGGATCGGTAAATATCACTGATCTTTACTGTCGTGAAAAAAGAAAGTGCACGGCTGGCAACGGCCCTGCAAGCATCGGCGGCATCGAGTGGAGGAGCTTGCCACCAGCTGCCCTGGGACCTCTATTTTCATAAGGCCACATTCAAACCAAATGTAATCCTACTTTGGGGTTCAGCCTTGGTTGTGCCCATTCCATTCTCCTCCGCTTTGGGAACACGTTGCCATCTCCCCTGTGTTCGCATGACGCTTGTACCACGCATTTATTGATCTCACACTGAAGGGGAACACCTCCTCATCCTCCTGATGAAGCATTGCAAGTACCACACCACCTTCCAACAAATATTGTGTTCCACTTTAGGTTTTTTTTGTTACGAATCATCCACTCCCATGAGTTTTTCTGCTCAATGTATTTCCTCAAATGTATATGTTCATGTGTATAGATCTATGATCACTTTAGTGAACCTCGATTGTGGAACCCAAGGTGGTGTCAGGTGGTTCCCTTAGAGCTGTGTGTTCTTATTTCTCATGCATTCTCCAATGTTTCTTATTTTTGTTACATGTATAAATTTTTATACATCAAGCCCCCCCCCCGTTTTCCCTACTCACCTGTCGGTACGTTCGTGACACCCCACCCGCCCTTACCTCTTCTGGTAACATTTTATTTTTTGCCCCCTTATGTGCATACTGACCATAGCAACCATGGCACACCTCAGGTCAAGTCGGGCAGGTTCATCATCTCAGGTACGTATCAATGGGGCTCTGACTACAACTATAAGTCTCCACACTTTACAGCAGGGGTAGCCAAACTCTGGCCGTCCAGCTGCGGTGAAACTACAAATCCCATGATGCATCTCTCTCTCCGGGAGTCGTGGCTGTGAGAATCTTGCAATGCCTCACGGGATTTGTAGTTCCACCACAGTTGGAGGGCCCGGAGTTTGGCTACCCCTGCTTTACAGCAACCTTAAATGAATGGTGCTTAATCCTCCTGACCGGACAAAAACCCAAATCCAACTGGGTGGGTGCGGTGGTGACAACGGATGCCTCCGTGAAATGTAGATAGATGAAAGTAGTCACTCGCACTCCGTGATAATAAAGTCAATGCTGTTTATTGACTGAGAACGCGCATCTCCTTAGCGACATTTCGAGACCATGCGGTCCCGTCCTCAGGCAAAGGGAGAGATTGAATTCATGGCACATCCCTACATACACTGACTCCAGTCTTGACCAACACATGTTGCCTCACGTTAATTTGTCATACACCCTCCATGTCCATAAGGAGCCTCTGGAGATGGTCCTGAACCCTTTCTTATATACTCGCTGGACAAGCCTGTTGGATACCCTCCTGCACTCCTCTAACCCAGAGAAATGAGCCTCTTCTACTCCCTATATATTTTACCAGAATTTGGGATTCCTCCTCAACCACTGGTGTTAATAATTGGACCCATACCTTCCTCCATGTATCGAGAGCATGTGAAATGCTCCTCCCTGTCGCAACCACTCAGCTCCATCTGGTGGTTGCCTCTTGTAACTGCACCTTCCATAGTCCAGTCAGCTGCAGGTTGATCAGCTTGGCTACAACCCCAACCCCCCCCAAGGGTACAGCTGGCTCTGCCTCTAGATAGGCAGAGCCAGCTATCACTCACGCAGCTGGGCGGATCTCGACATCGATGTCGGGATCCGCTGCGGCATCTCAGCATATCTCGAGCTGTAGCTCCCTATATACTGAGCTTAGGGTGACGGGAGGACGCTAGTTTGTGTCCTCCCGTTACCCTAAGGAGAACTATGGGGAAAAGCCCCGACCCCATAGTTCTCCTTTTAAGCTCTGTGGCTTGTGATGTCTCCAGTCCTGTCTTGCTCTATCTACACAAGGCCGTATCCTGCTCCTGAAACCCAGTCCTGCCTTGACCTTCTATCCTAGTCTTACCTTGGTGCTTTATTCCTATACCTGTCTTGTTTCCCGTATCTTGTCTTTATCTTGTAGTAGTTCAAGGGCATCCCGAGGCTGGGTGACACCCCACCGTGACGTCATCGCGCATGCATGGCCATCTAATTGCCGCCTGTCGGCGGCCATTTCGGTTCTGGACGCCGGCAGAGAGAGGAGGGGACGTTCACGCGATGGGTGAATGCCACCGAGTCCCCTCCTCTCTCCTGACACTGTCGGGCTCTCGGTCAATGACCAAGTGCCCGATTTTTTTAGAGGGGGTGACACAAAAATGACGGTCATTTTGGAGACACCCCTCCAATGGTGTCACCCGGGTGCGGGCCGCACCCCCCACACCCCCCTTGTGATGCCACTGGTTCCGGTCTTGTATTTGGTTCCTGTTCCTGTCTTGTGTCTTGCTTTCTGTTCCTGTCTTATACCTTGACATCAGTCAGTACTTCTCCTTGTTCCTGGGGGTCCCAGCCTGTGGCATCACTTGCTCAGAGCAAATAGCTGAAGTCCTGGGGGCATCCAAGTACCGGTAGGCCTGCTTTTCCAGCACAGATCCTGGTTCCAGGATCTCTAAAGGTCATAAGCAACTCCGGATTATTTCTCTTGTAGCCAAAAAGACAATTTTGCACAAGTGGATATCATCTGGCCTTCCAGCTAGCAATTGACACCCGGCAATCGGTAACAGAATGCTTTCACTATCCTCCAGTGGTATCTACCTGGAATACTTACCAATGACCCTCTAACTGACGCTCCATCTCTTGCACAACCCATGCAAATCTACTTCTACTGAATGAGACATCCTCCTTCTTCTTGAGGAACTACGTGCATGGCCGACCACCAAACATTAGCTGCTTGGATACATGGTTAGTTGACTGATGGACAAAACATCTTGTCCTCCAATGGATCACATATTTTTAGCCCACACTACCTTCCAGATGAGATTAGCCATCCACAGCTCCGCCCCCGGCTATATCTCAAACCTTGTTTCAAAGTATCACCCTAACCGTCCCCTCCGCTCTTCACATGACCTTCTGCTTTCCAGCTCCCTCGTCAACTCCTCCCATGCTCGCCTCCAGGACTTCTCTAGAGCCTCTCCCATCCTATGGAACTCTATACCTCAACCTGTCCGTCTATCTCCCACTCTGACTGCCTTTAGGCGATCCCTTAAGACTCATCTCTTCAGGGAAGCCGATCCCACCTCAACCTAACCGCTCAACCATCACGTTCTCAAACAATTCATCCCCCACACAGCTACCTCCTCATGTATCACTGGCCCCTCCCCTTTTAGATTGTAAGCCCTCAGGGGCAGGGCCCTCCTTACCATCTTGTCTTGAATTGTATTGTGATTGTAATGTCTTCCCTATATTGTACAGCGCTGCGCACACTGTTGGCGCTATATACATCCTGTATAATAATAGTGAACACACAACCCTTCAGACATCCAGAGACATGCAACCTTCCAGACATCCACAGACATGCCCACCAAAAGCTCATCCCTAGTGGTGTGTCTGTGGGTGTCTGAAAGGTTGCGGAGAGACACTGGTGACCTTGTGAGGTAGACTCCATGATCTCTAATAGTGACCTTGACTTTAAATATAGGTCCCCCTCTCGGCCTCCCTGTGTAGGAATGTTCAGGACCGGTCACACTGGTTAATAAGTGTCGGAGCCTTTTAACTGTCATCTCTCTCTTCTGTTCTCAGCGATGGCGTCTGCTGATCTGGGGAAGGAGTTGGAATGTTCCGTCTGCCTGGACTTTTATACAGATCCTGTAACCCTGAAATGTGGGCACAACTACTGCCGGAACTGTATTGATGGTGTGCTGGATACACAGAAGGAGTATGGAGTTTTTTCTTGTCCTGAATGCAGAGAAGAGTTCCGGGAGCGGCCTGCACTGCACAGGAACATCACACTGCGTAACATTGTGGAGAATTTCCTGTCTGCTGAGACAGATCTGGGGAAGACCGGGATCTTCTGTACTTACTGTATTCACACTCCTGTACCTGCTGTGAAATCCTGTCTGCTGTGTGAAGCTTCTCTGTGTGACAACCACCTGAGAGTCCACAGCAAGTCACCAGAACACGTCTTATGTGACCCCACCACTTCCCTGAAGAAAAGGAAATGTTTTGTCCATGAGAAGATATTGGAGTATTACTGCACTGAGGACTCTGCCTGTATCTGTGCGTCCTGCATGGCTGAAGGACACCAGGGACACTGGTTGGAGACTCTGGATGAGGCCTCTGAGAAGAAGAAGCAGCAGCTGAGAAACGTTCTGCAGAAACTGATGGCAGAGAGAGAAGCGACGGAGAAAAAACTCCAGGTTTTCCAGAAAAACAGGGGAAATATACAAGGAAAAGCAGCTGCCGAAACAAAGAGAATCACTGCTCTGTTTAGAAACCTCAAGAAACGTTTGAAAGGCCTGGAGAAAAAAGTCCTGTATGAGGTCTCCGGGCAGGCAGAGCAGATCTCACTATCATTGTCTGGTCTGATCCATCAGCTGGAAATAAAGAAGGACGAGCTGTTCAGGAAGATGCGTCACATTGAGGAGCTGTGTAACATGACGGATCCACTGACTGTCTTACAGGAATCAGACACAGATGACTTGTGTGATACTGAGGATGGAGATGATGAGGACAGAGAGAGACATGATAGACTCCTCCATGATGGAGGGGATCTGGATGTGGCTGTGATCTCACACATGTTGAACACAGGTTTATCTTATGTAATGTCTGGGATAAATGTACAGGAAGGTCCAGGCACACATGTCTATCCACATGCTTGTACACAGGACACAGTTCACAAAGATGAAGAACTATCCAGGCCATGGCCCAAATCCACCCCCAATGCACAACGCTCACAGCTCAAGGCTGGAAGACCAAATACTGGGGTTGTGCAGCAAACATCGAGGCTGTTAGAAGTTACAGACATATTACTGGATGTGAACACAGCTAGTAATAGGCTTCATATATCTGATGACAGGAAAACTGCATTCTGCATAGATTATAAACCGAATCGTCCAGAAGGACCAGAGAGATTTCAGGAGTATCCTCAGGTGTTGAGCAGTCGGAGTTTCTCCTCAGGGCGACATTACTGGGAAGTGGATGTCGGGGGATCGGGTGACTGGATAGTCGGGATGTGTTACCCCAGTATAGAGAGGAGAGGAGAGAAGTCACTGATTGGAGGTAATAATAAGTCCTGGTGTGTGGAGAGGTGGGGGTGGGGTGATCAGTACTCAGTGATACATGACAGAAAGAAGATCACGTTACCCGGCAAAGTCTCCAGTAACAGAGTCAGGATAGATCTGGATTATGAGGCCGGGCGGATCTCCTTTTATGATCTGTGTGACCCGATCCGACACCTCCACACCTTCACCACCACCACCTTCACTGAGCCCCTCCATGCTATGTTATATTTAGGGGATGGTTGTATAAAGATATCTGAGGGAAAGACGTTGTAAGATCTCTGGTCAGAGACTGGTGGAATACTTGGCCGAAGGGAGGAAGCAGTGGACAGGGGCAGCCATTGCTGACTTGTTGATAGCTTCAGACCTGTAGTACTCAGCCTGGTGGTTGCTTCAATACCTAGCCTGTGACTGACCTGGGACAAGCATGCAGGAGTTCAAATTTTCAAGACTTCGCTGGCTGTATGCTTGTTCCAGGTAAGTGACACAGTAGGCAGTGAAGCCTGGATCAAGATTACACCCCTGGAGCCTCCATCTTTAATATAAGCAAAGATATTTCCTACATTTATTTTCTTTGCAGGTAAAAATCCAGCTATCTGAGATTGCCCCTCCCCTTCACTGCGATTGGCTTTAATAATGGAACTAGCAATGCAGCCAGTGCTAGCCTCGTTCCTATTGGTTATTATGTGCCGGTGATGTGGCTTGATATCGGTCACTAACCATGCTAAAGTACAACTGTATTTTAGAAGACAATATACCTGGATGATGATGGTGTGAGGTTGGCCACCTCTTGGCCTTGAAAGCTTCCAGCAGTTCTGGCCCAATGTGAACCCGGCTACCCAGGCGTACAAGCTGCAACACAGCATGGCAGCGTTTAGTCTGGGATGATTCATATGCTCCAAGCAGCTTAGGGGGTGGTGGTGGTGGTGGTGGTGATTGGGGGGATGGAGGAAGAGGCCAGTGAGGAGGAGGGGGCATAGAGGATTGTGCTGTCACCTTTTGGACAAGACTTGTCCACCAGCTTCAGCAGTGTGCCCCATCATGCATCCTTCCCAGCTTCCAGGAAAATTGACCCAATGGGCAATCAGGGATATGTAGCGCCTCTGCCCTGGACCATATTTTCTCTTACCTGAAGACAATATGGGGCTTTACATGTAGTAAAAGGGAAAAACCTAACGATCCATACACAATACCTTTGTGTGAAACCATATCAAAAGGTTCGTTAGTACATCTCATTAAAAATCACAAGACAAACACGTCATACATGTCTTCCCATCATGAGCTCATTCATATACAGAGGCAGAAAGCATGACCAAGTTTGGGGTGAGACAAGTATTGTCTGTGGCCATTATCTCAACAACCTTGGGTCATCATTTGCATATAGATATTCCCATGAAAAGAGATAAAAGAACCAGCGCCTTCATCCTCTCGTGATAGCATTTATTAGAACAGAGTGTATCTCAGGGCTGATGGTGGCCACCAGAGATCCTACAGGGTATCTTAACTGTCATGCGTTTACACCAGGAAGGGCAGCTGTTTAGAAACGGATAGGGAAATCCTCCAGAACATGAAGAGATGAAAAAGAATAAGCTCCTCCTCCTCCAGACACAATAACTTTGTATAAAAACATATTAAAAAGTTGTAACAATGTCATACATATCTTTCCATCCTGGGAATATTTACCTCAAACCACCATCTCAGCACTGGTGGTGACCACCAGAGATCCTGCTCTTAACTAGCATGCGTTTACACCAGCTGTTCAGACACGGATAGGGAAATCCTCCAGAACATGAAGAGATAAAAGAACCAGCTCCTTCTCCTCTGGTGATACCGTAGTGTAAGAGTCAGACGTCCATTCTTCTCACATGTTCAGTCCAGATAACATCAGCAAGCAATCCCTAAATCAATCACCCAAGTAAGGAACAAAGAAGATGAAGAGACCCTTCAGCATGTGATGGTGGACAATAGCCAGCTGGTTTCAAGGGATAAACCATCTTCTTCAGAGCCTAGTGTAATATAGTCAGCTCTGAAGAAGGGGTTAACCCTTGAAACGCATTGGCTATTGTCCACCATCACATGCTGAAGGGTTCCGTAGTTAGGTTAATGATTAGGGGATTGATTGCTGATGTTATCTGGACTGAACATGAGTAGGATGGACGTCTGACTTCTACACTATGGTATCACGAGAGGAGAAGACGCTGTTCCTTCATCTCTTTTCAGGTTTTAGAGGATTTCACGATCCGTGTCTGAACAGCTGCCCTTCCTGGTGTGAACCTGTAGAGACCCTTAAGAGACCCTGTATGGTCACTGGTGGCCGCCATCGGCGCTGAGATGGCGGGTTGAGGTACCTGAACCTGTAGAGACCCTGTAGGATCACTGGTGGCCGCCATCGGCGCTGAGATGGCAGTTTGAGGTAAATATTCCCAGGATGGAAAGACATGTATGACATTGTAACAACTTTTTATTATGTTTTCCTACAATGTTATTGTGTCTGGACCATTATGTGTTTTTCCCATTTCCCGGGACTACAGTGGAAGCCCCACATGTTCTTCTACAATACTGTTTTTATTATTGGGGGTGTGGTAGCTTCTGAGAAGCGTTGAATTGATTGGTTGATTCCCTTTTACTTTGTGTTCACCAATCGATGGCATTTTCTTTCCATAATAAATTTCCAACTGATAAACAGATGTCAGCTTATTGATTATTATCCGTTTGGATGCATGGTGTGACAGTATGCGGTGTGTGGGTGGTGTTGATGGCACACCGGTGGAAGTGGGACAGGTGATGGATGGGGGGATGAGGGGTAGGCACTCTCAGCTTCAGCTCTGTAGCTGGTAAGTGGCACGATCCAGCCAAGAGTGAGTAGGTTTGGATCATATTTTCACTGACTTACATTGTAGCCCCCATAACCTTTTGTGATGTGACTACCATGATGGCCGGGGCTGTAGACAGCCTGGCTGGATTTATAGTGGCGATTACATGGTTAATCCCAGGTGTCTAGCCTTGCCTGTAACCCCCTGGGTGGAGTGTGACTCTGTCATGTTGTGGGACAGCCAATGGTAGACACTGTAATGTGTGTACAATGCAGCAGCCAATCACTGGGCTTCTTACAGTCAGTGGTGCCTGCTGGGAGAGTGTACATATATGGGTGGGAGCTGCCATGTGCTCTCTCTCTCTCTCGCCGGGACCAGCCATTGATTAGGGCTGGGTCCTGTTCAGCCTGCCCCCCCCCGGCTAGGGCGAGGCCTGGGGGTAGCCATTGGCTGTAGTGAGGGAAGAGGTTTCCCTGAGGCCTCCAACAGGGAGGAGGACTGAGCGATGAGATTAGGAAAATAACCAGGACCAGTGCAGGCTCTTGTAGCACCCTGGAACCATGTGGGCTTCAGAGCACGGTCAGTATCTTTTCTGGATTGAGGATCTGCATCCATCTGGACTGTATGATACATCAGCGGCTATCTGATGTGGTCAAGTGGATCTGCATTGCTACTTTCACAAGATCCGGTGAGTCTGGAGCTGATGCTGGTCACCCTCTGGACACCTAGAACCCCTATACCCTCTCTCCCACAGAAGATGTTCAATAAACTGTTCACTTAGCATTGTACTTCTGAAGTGGACGTCCATTTATGGGCACCAGAAGAGGGCGGTTAGAGCTAATGGGGAGTAGCTGGAAATCAACCCCCTAGACCGACTAGATGTGGACCGGTCAAACAGCAGCTCCTTGCGGGGAGTTATCGCTACAACATCAAACTCTGGCCTCTTTTTTACAAATTTGTATTTAACCCTTTAGTGAATGGGTAGGGGTACAAGTACCCCTTACTCATTCACAAGGGGTGGCGGGGCCGCATCTGGGTGCCCCTTTATTAAAGGGGGTACCCTGATGTGAATAAGCCCTCCTACTCGCAACCCCACAACCAACATCTCAGGCCTTGTGGCGAAGAGGCCCTTGTCCCCATCAGCATGGGGAGAAGATGCTTTTCCAGGGGTTACC